TTAATTAAACTTTAATTAATTTCAAACATATTGGTGGAGATATTAAAAATTACCTGAGCTAATAATTCCTACACTACTATCAAGTTCTCTCTCCTGTTCTAATTGCTGATTCATTACTATTTTACCTCATGGATATGCCTCCTGGCACTTTGCTCCTCATCCAGTCCTTTTTATCTTTGTGAAATTCTCAACATATGGCCGGCATATTTATATTTTTTACATATACTTCATATATATATATTTTTTTATTATTTTACATTGTCACTGGAGTGGTATACCAAATTTTACTGTATACAATGACAATAAATGTATTATATTCTGTTGTCCATATTACTTCTAAACCTCTTCCAAGGAAGCAGTGTTATCTGCTTGCTAACTGATGCAGAGGATGATAATATCTACTGGGTAACAACGCCATGGTAAGGAATTCATGGTGATTTGGTCAAGGGTTTAGGGAAGCAAATGCCTGTGTTATTACACTGCTTTTACAGTGGTTACAAATCCAGCAACCATTCTCTTGCATCTTTGATTTATGTTCTGCTTCCTTTTCTGCTACAATACACCCAGACTTACAGTTCATCTATCTAAAATGACAATACGGGATACAAATGAAATCTGTTACCTAAGTCTGTATCTAAGTTGAATTTGTAGGTAAGGTGGAACAACAACAACAACAACAACAATAATAATAATAATAATAATAATAATAATAATACAGCAATAATAAAAGTTACTCCATATGGTGCTGTACTATACCTCGAACTGATGAATCTCTGAAGCCACTTAATGTTTTCGGAAACATTAAAGAGTAGTGCATTGTGTTCATTATTACGAGCCTTTTTAATGAAATTTTTAATTAAAGAAGAACAAGTTGTCCGTAAGTTGGACATTCTTTACTCAGAGACAGCAGAGGGTGGAAAGGGAGGTTTACAGACGTCATCTTGTGAACACAGTGATTTGAAAGGTCTGAAGGTATCTTTTTCAAACTTCCCAGGAACATTGTACATGTGAGTGATTTTCAAACTGTGGGGCATGAAATTATTTTCTGAGTATTGTAAAATAAGGTGTATAATGTTTTTTTATTGCCAGCCTCCGTGTTCTGCAAATTTTATCAGATCTAAACCAGTCCACTGAAGATGTCATGTCCTTTGCCATCCATCTGCTCCTTTCCTATATTGAAAGGAAGAACACATATGTGAGTATGCTGTTCATTTACTTCAGTTAAGCATTCAACATCATCATCCTCCAATAGCACATAGGGAAGTTGCTAGGCTTCAGCACTTCCCTGTGGAACTGGATCCTGGAGTTCCTGATAGAGACTCCCCACACAGTCTGCATCAGAGACATCACCTCCAGACACCACCATGCTGAATACTGGTGTCCCCCAAGGCTGTGTGCTCAGCTCACTCCTGTTCAGCTTCTTGGCCCATGTCTCTAATGCCGCATACAGCTCCAACACCATCAACAACTTTACTGATTATACAACAGTTCTGGGTCTCATGGGTCTCATCACCAAGCAATGGTGATGAGACTGCATACAAGATGGAGATTCAGTGACTGGTGGACTGGTGTAAGTCTAGCAACCTATTTTTTTACATGGAAAAAACACAGTGCCCTCCATAATGTTTGTGACAAAAACACATTTTTCCTTGATTTACCCCTCTGCTCCACAGTTTAAAATTTCAAATTAATCAATTCAGATATGATTGAAGTGTATATTCCACATTTAGGTTTCACTGTGTAGAAATAACAACACTTTTTATACATAGTCCCCCTCATATCAGGGCATCATAATGTTTGGGACATTTGGCTTCACGGGTGTTTGTGATTACTCAGGTGTGTTTCATTGCTTCATTAGTGCAGGCACAAGATACCTAGGCTTGCTTCTACCATTTGGAATCTGTAGTTGCCATTGCTCAATATGTCTACATGTCTATGATACTACATGACCATCAGCAAGCAGCTTGGTGAGAAAGTGACAACTATTGGTGAAATTATTTGCAGATGGAAGAAAGACAGAATAACTGTCAATCACCCTAGATCTGTGGGTGGGTCTTCCAGCAAGACAACAACTGTAAGCTGCTTCAAGAAGACGCAGATTAAGGTCATGGAGTGCCCCAGCCAGTCTCCGGACCTTAATCCCATAGATGACCTATGGAGGGAACTCAAGCTTCCTGTATCCAAGTGACAGCCTAAAAACCTTCAAGATTTGGAGGAGATCTGCAAAGAGGAGTGGATGACAATTCCTGCTGAACTGTGTGCAAACCTGGTGTTCAACTACAAGAAACATCTGACAGTTGTGCTTGCCAACAATGGTTACTCCACCAAGTACTAAAGCATGTGTTCCAAGGGATCGAATACTTATTTCCCTAGATAAATGACAAATTGGTTTGTAACTGTTAAATAATGATTTTTCTGGCTTGTTTTGTTGATCTATCTATCTTTTGCAGTTAAAATAAACTTACCAGTGAAGTTACAGACTTCTCATTTCTTTATTAATGGGTCAATTTAAGAATTCAGCAGGGGGTAAAATAATTATGTCCTTCACTGTATGTAATTCCAAAATACCCTATTATTGAAAACCTTTAATGTTCAAATAATGCAGATGTATCCAAAAACCCACAATATAGCAAAATCATCTACACAAAATCCTTTTCCAGATCCCTGATAGCAATAGTAACAATCAACAAAAAACACTACCGACAATGTCCAAAACAGTTATAACAGGGGCAGTCGATGATGGATGACTGAAAGAAATACCTTGTGAACAGCTGTCCTAAAGGAACATACTAGTTCCTGATGCGGTGTGAGGTGACTGGGAGCAGGGCTGTAGCCAGGGTTTGAAAAATAGTGAGCTCCGGGACCCGGGGCTGAGGGGGTTGGGGGGAGGGGTGAGTTGCGTCAATCACACATTTCAGGGGGATAGGCAGTGTTAAATGAGAGTTAAATCAATTCTTTGATGATGAAATTTACACAAGGTTTGATAAATGAGGTCCCACTGTTAACCTTTCATAGCCATTTTGCAGCTGGTTATCAGTATATGGGACTTCATGTCATTAAAATCCTTTGTGTCTAGCCCGAACACCTACTTGCAGACAGCACAATAAGCTTCTCGGTCATTTCCAGTCACTGGTTGCAACAATTTTGGACATTAACAACACTTTCCCATCTATATCTCATTGTGGCCTCCAGCTGGAGTGGCACAAAACCACATTGCGTGTTATAATAATTTGTTTCTTCAATTATCTATTGCTATAAGGATCCACATAATTATTCTTGTGGCATGACAACACACACACCTGGAAAATTTTAAATGAACATTGATCAATATGACCAATTTTGTATCTGAACTCTGATTAAATTGGAAAAATATTTAATACCTATAGGAATCATATTTAAGACTTTTAAAATGCCTTTTAAGGCCAAATTCATTAAATCGATTTAATGCTTTTTAAATATATTTTAATGATCAATGGAAACAACAACCTAATGATAATAAAACCAATGGGGCTATCATGGACTTCACAATATCAAGAAGGAAGGAGCACTCTGCCCCCCACACAAACAATGGGAAAGTTTGAAAGGATGGCCCACTTCAGATTGTTTGAGGTGTTTATGATTGTCAGGACCCTAAACACCAATTTTGTTGTGAAGAAGGCCCAAGAACGCCTCTTCTTCTTTAGCAAACTGAAACAGCAACTGCCACCACAATACTATAGACAGTATCATAACCTACTGTGTACCAGTATGGCATTCTAGCTGCACTGCTGCTGATCAGCAGGTGGCGAAGGTATGTGGTGGCCTGGGGGGGGTGGCCTGCTCCCCTCTCTTGCTGCAGCTATTCAAAGAGAAGTGAAAAGACATGGCTGCACACCATCTCATAAAAGGTAAACCCATTGATTGCCTAGCCCTTTACAGTCATTGGCCTACCTTGGTAGTAGTCAAAGGAAGTCAAGTGGACTTTTTGGTCATGCCAGGCATACACAAATACACAGTGGTACGAGACATTGCTTCTCCAGGACCACGGTGCAACATAAGACACATGGGGGGCTGTATGTACACAATTACAGAGGTAAAGTGCAGATAAGTACACGAGTGACACAACAGGAGGGCAGACACACAGTATATAAATGAATATGGTGTAGGTAATGATGAATGTGAACTATCTGTATATAACAGTATTGAATATAAAAGGAAAGTGTTTGGCTCTCTGATTTAACAAGGGACCCCCCACTGAAGTAGAGTGTTGCAGCAGTGGAAGAATTTTAAGGCATTACACAGTGTCACGCCCACACGGGCGGGGCAGAGCACCGGAGGCCGATCACCATTGGATCGCCCAGCTATTTAATCGCACTCCACCCGGCGGGCAGTGCGAAGTATTGATGCCATTCTAGTGATGTGCCTTACAGAGCAATTTCTCTGTGTCCTGTCTTCCCGGTCTGCCTTCCCTGCTGTGTTCTGCCTGATCGCCTGTCTGCCTTCCCTGCTCGTCTCATCCATCGTTCCTGCCTCGTCTCCTGCTTCCTCGTCTACTCTTCTCCGCCCTCCCCAGATCCTCGTCTCGTCCACTTGTCCCGGACTGATCTCCACGGTTACCGACTCTCGCCTGCCTCTCAACCACGATTTAGCACGTCCCCCCTTGGTTTCTGCTCTCTCCGGCATCAACTCTACTCACTGTGTTTGGAGGGAAATGAATGCTGACTGTACTACATTTTTGAAAGTTGTATGTTACCACAATCATTTAGTACTGGTACTAATTACAGTATTAGTGGCATTGCTAACGCTTTATTCCCAACCATGTTTAAGTGTTTAAATATAGCGCATGATCCTACATGGTTACAAGAGAGCAGTGCACCACTCACTGTTATCACGCCAGATTACTGAAGTTGACTCTAGTCAGTTAAAAATGCCTTTAGAGTTGAATAACAGATAAATGCAACTGCTCCCGAAAAATAAAACAGTAATGCATTGTGTAATACATTGTACAGCTCCAGATAAAAAGGCTAAATGAGTTTTCACCCTTAGATTTCTTATGTGCACAAGTCCATTCTGCACTCTTTGGTGAGACAGGGGAATTTAATACATATTTTGAGACATATTTTGGGTCGTGGGGGCTTGAGCACCTGCCCCTTTCCTCTTGGGTACCCCAAGTGCCCTTTTCTTGAGGCATTTTTTTTTTAAATTTTAATGTGTGTGTGCGTGTGGAGTCCCGTCTGTGCCCCTCGACAATAACATTTAACTATTAATCACAATTTTGCTAAATAAAAGGATCTGGCTTGCATCCGTCACATGATGACCATTAACCAATGCTTACCCTTGATGGCAGAGCGCGCTGGTTACAAGCCGGGAACGAGCTGCATTTTTTGCCGGCTGGGCGGTGCGGAGCTGTAGGGCAAACACACAAATTAATTGGGAGACGCAGACTGATGCAACAAAAACCAGTAAGTAGTGTCACGTTCCACGGGGAAGCAGGCGACAGATGCCGTGAATATAAACAAAAGGGCTTTTTTTCTGGGACGACACACTGCAAGACACACGTAACATTACAATGACCGGACTGGGGAAACAAACGGAAAGGCGGACTAAATACAATGAACTAATGACAACAATCAGAAATAGCCGTAAAACACTGGGAATCCACATGAGGTTAACGAGGGGGCGTACCACACGAGAGGAGCGGACGATCGGGGCATGACAGAACCCCCCCCCCCAAAGACGCGCACTCCGGGCGCGCCCCAGGGGATGCGACAGACGTGACGAGACCGGGGACACGGGACCTGGAGAGACATAAGCAAAGCATCAACGAGGGACCGGGAACAGAACAGACACACAGAACAGACACAAGGGCAAAAGCCAAAACAAAACCTGACACAAAACGGGAAAGGCAGAGAGACACACAAGAAAGGGAGAGACAGAGGGCACAACGAACGGAGAAACAAAAGGAGTGAACGGGGGAGGAACAGAGGGACGAGGAGCAGACACAGGCGGGACGAAGGGAGGAGGAGCAGACAGTGGAGACCAGACAGGAACGGACGGGGGACAAAAGGGAGCCCGAGGGAGCCCAGGCAGGTGACGGGCGGCGGCCGGAGGGGCCGCAGGCGAGAGGGAGAAGGGAGCAGGAGGGAACCACAAAGGGGCCGAGGGAACGGGACGAGGGGGAGACGGAGGGGACATGGAGGGAGCAGGAGGGAACACCGGCGAAGGCAGGCAGGAAGGGGAAGTCGCGGCAGGCAACGGCACAGCCTGAGCCGGCAAAGGCGCCGTCCGACGCCCCGCCGAAGTAGGGGGGCCCGGAGGCGACCAACATGGAGCCGGAGGCGATGCCGAGGACCGGCACCGAGGTACCGGGGGGGGACCCGAAGGTGACTGCCGACCCCGAGCCGCAGCAGGCGACCCCGGAGCCCCAGTCAGGGCGGGCGAGGGCGAGATAGGGGGCAGGGCAGGGCGGGCGGGACCCAGCCCTGGCGCAGGTGTCCCCTCCCCTTCCGGGAGACTGAGAGGCGGGGACCCGGCCGGGGTCTGTCACACTGGGGTGACGGTGGAGGAGTCACGGGGGAAGTCACGGGGATAGCCACAGGGGTAACCACGGGGGTAGTCACTGGGGAAGCCATGGGGGTAATCAAGGCAATCCCCAAGGGGTCCCACTCAAGCTCCCCCTCCAAGTCCACTACGGAGGGAGGAGCATCAGAACCGCAATTCGGGGCCTCCTCGAGGACAGGGGCCTCGGGCGGCACCATCTCAGGCACAGCAGGGGCCACAGGGGATGTCGCAGGCGTGGCAGTATGGGCGAGCCGGGCTGGACAGGCAGGACGGGCGAGCCGGGCAGAGCGGCGGGGTCAGGCAGGGCCACGGGCAGAGTTGCGGCGTCAGGCAGGGCCGCGGGCAGAGCGATGGTGTCAGCAGGCACCTCGGGCATGCGGCCAGCAGGGGGCGCCTCAGCAGGCACCTCGGGCGTGCGGCCAGCAGGGGGCATCACAGAAGGCACCTCGGGCGTGCGGCCAGCAGGGGGCGCCGCAGGTGCCTCCAGGGGGGCACTCACCCCTGGCATGGGGACCGCGGGGAGCACAGGACCCACGGGGAGCTGAGCGAGGAGCTCAGGAGTCACAGGGAGCTCAGGGGACTGGGCAGGAGGCGCAGGCGAAGCAGCAAGCGAAGCAGCTTTCTCAGGGTTTCCTCTGCTGGAGCGGGGAGCCGGGGGTGACGGTGGCAAATTCCCTCCGGAGCTGCTCCTGGAGGGTACCCGCCTCTGGGGAGGTGCTCACTGCAGGCTCCCCCACCACTCGCCAGTAGAGTCCCTGGAGGGTGAAAAACCTCCTAGCCGTCTCCAGGCAGGGCCGTGGCTCAGGAAGCACGGGGGGCGCTGCAGCCTCAGGAAGGACAGGGAATCCACATGAGGTTAATGAGGGGGCGTGGCACACGAGAGGAGCGGACAATCGGGGCATGACAAGTAGGATATGGACTATAGTCTATAGCACACAGGAGTAATAGGTTATTATGTACACGTTGTTAAGTTGTCTTGTGGCAACTGACGAATTGAAACAAATGAGCATGCTGTGTGTGCAGTGTGCAACAGCACGACAAAACATTACCTGTCCTTTTATTAACTGCACAAGTAGTGGTGGTCATTAGCCACTAGCTAACTGGGTAAGGGTGTCATGGTCTGTAACTCTGTCCACCGTTTTAGGGAACATATTTCATTTTAAAGTAAGTTACAGGGCTTTCCCCTGCCTTTCTGGAGGGCTTATATTTCACTAAAAGGTTATTTGCCCTACTAAAATTCCAGTTTCAGTTTATTTCCCACAGTTTTGTAATCTGTTGTCACAAATCTTCACATTGTATTATTATCTCACAACACTTGTTTAATCAGCTACCATCTCTCCTATGGACTTTTTAATGTCTACAGTCTCAGATCAACACAGCCCTGCTGTCCAGCACTATCAGCAGCAGGAGCAGCAGCAACCCCTCAACAGCAACATTGTGCCCCATCAGGTAAAACATACAGTAGGCTACGTTTGCTTTGCATTGTCCCCACCCGATGACAGTGATATTGTATGATGCGATTCCATATTAGATTCTTGATGAATGTGGGTTGTTGCCTGGTTCTATATGTGCCCCTTTTTAACTTTGAGCACCCACACCTTCAAACATCTCTGCACGGCCCTGTTCGTGTGTAATATAATGAATATAATGATATCCATGGGCTTCGCCAGAAGGGGGGGTGGGGTGTTGGGCATGTCTTATGTGCTGCCTCCCAAACAGAATTAATGCATT